GAAATCAAGCCAGAATTTTAAAATAATTTGGAGAAAATTGCATTTCTTAAGAAAACAAGATACAATTTTGAGTAAGTACTTTAGCTACTAGAATATACTAGAAAAATCAGTATCCACGGTCTGGAAATACTCTTAGTCGTATGCCCGTTTTAAAGCAATTTTGATTGCGGCGTGTAAAGAGATGAAAATGTTTTACCAACAGGCCTTCAAATTAAAAGATAAAGAAGTGTTCGACATTAATTTCAAATTTAAATTTTAAATGCGATGTGCGTGCGTGCGTTGCATAAATGTTGAATTTTTTATGTTTGAAACGAATAAAATTCCAATCAAGTCATAGTCTGTGTTTAGTGGATGGAAACAAAGACTAATAATCAGGTACGTTTCCTTTGTACGTGTTATTTTAACGTCTTTGTTGATTTTTTCAAAAGACTTTTATTTCTATAAAATGCAGCTTCCAAAATGAAAATTTTGCTATTCCTATGTATATTGTGCTTACGGATTGATTTATTTAAAAATAGCTTCAAGAAAACAGCAGATAAGAAATAATATTTTGTGAATTTAAAATGCATATTTATACTGCATACATCCATGCATACTAGAGAATTCTAGAATTCTGTGAACCAACCGCAGATTTCACACGATTGACCCTCTTTGCATGTCACAATATTTTCTGAATCACGAAAGTGCGTGATTTATCGTTAACGAGTCGTTGCTCAAAACCACATATTCTGATATAAATCTGATACATAGCAATGCAATGTGAAAACCAAGGAGTAATATTCTATGCCATTACAATAAAGAAGGTCAGTCATATGTAAAATCTGCCTTGCTTTATCAGTCATTAAAAATATTGTTTTGACAATATAATTATATAAAACTTAATTCAATGCTCAGCGATCGCAGTGCAACCCTTTATCTTGATTAAAAAACCATCACAATCTTCCATAGACCCTTTAATATATATAGCTATCAATTGTATTCCATATATAATAAAATAATTAGCCCCGAATATTGCAATCATTTTATGAGCAATGCCCTGTCTTGCTTTTTTTTCAGCCAGCTGCATTAATGCATCTACTGATAATCATATCTTGTATCCATAATAATTAGCATTATTTTGATCCCTTTGGCCTTATTTGACGGAAAAAGGTTATATTATCAGTTTGTTTTCAAACATACATGTAGTTTTTACAAATCTGTGCACGTACATTAAAGATGAGGTAAAGTTCGTTCTGCGCATATATTCCGTGCAACAGCACATTCCATCAGTGGGGGAGCAACTTTTGGAATGTTAATGATTTGCGATATTAGCGCGTTGTATTACAAACGGCAGTTCGGGAGCACAATTATTTTATGTCGCAAGGCGAAGAGGCTCGAATTGCGAGTGACGAAGATTATACAAATATATTAACAAGCTTTGCTTTATATCTTCTTCAAAATATATTATAATATAAAATAAGCATCATTCATCACAGCCAGTCGAGCGAGAACGAGAAGAAAATAAGAAAATTAAAACGACACATACGTCATGTAAAGATTATATAACAAACGTAAACAAACATTGTTATGCGCGGTATTCATACGCAGAACGGACTTTACATCATCTTTAAAGTTATGAATCTGTTGTTTGAAAGCAGTTTTATTCTGTGTTTGGATAAGGTAATAAAATATGCATATTTTAGAGTTTCACTGCCATGCACTTGAACAATCTGCATGGGACATTATGACCCTTCTCCACTTATCGCGAGTGCTTAACCTTAAAGCATTCTCATTGGATGAAAACCCTCGCAGGCATTCGGCGAAAATATGATATAGAAATAAATTAATTAACACGAGAAAGTGTCTAGAAAGGTCTCTTTAAAGGTCACATCTTGTTATCAAAACATTCTAATTTTCCTCTCGCGTGATTACAATTACTGACAATTTTAAAATATCTAGAACTTTCCTTAATTCAACTCATCATTTGTTAGAATTTACTAAAGAAACATACATGCAACAACCTTGTCGCTTGTATTTTTAATGAAATCAAGCCAGAATTTAAAATAATTCGGAGAAAATTGCATCTCCTAAAGAAAACAAGATAAAATTTTGAATAACTACTTTAGCTACTAGAATATACTAGCAGAATGATGAACGCAGCATCATCCACTCAACGCAGACAATGACTTGATTGGCTGAAACTTAATTCGTTTCAAACATTTTTGAATTGAACACTTATGCAACGCACGCATGCATATGCATTGTATTTAAAATTTAAAATTGAAGTAAATATCGAACACTGCTTTATCTTTTAATTTGAAGGCCTGCATGTTGTGAAACATTTTCATTTCTTGATACGCCGTTATAAAAATTTAAAACGGGCATTCGACTAAGAGAATCTTAATTTATTTCCAGACCGTAATTATTTTTCTAATTTAATTGCTAAACTCTCATCCAGTAATTTCCCCACCCGCTGTTCGACCTCTTCAATAGAGTGTTCTAAATTAAGCTTCGTGTCAAGCGTCGCGTTAGCTGTTGTTTGTTGTTCGACAACGCTTCCGGATGATCTATCTTGTACAGTGAGCTGTGGTGAAGCATCTTTCGTTTCGACATTTTGCGCTGTTACAGGTTCAGTAAGGTCCTGGCCGACATGGGCTTGAGTCTTTGCTGTTTGACGCGTAGTTACTCCCTTTGGTTTGTTTGGCTTTGAAGCTGATTCCTTCGATGATTGCTCTCGTTTATACTTAAACAGTCGTTGAGTACAAGTAGTTGTCGTCCCGACAGTGGACAAACTATATCGTTCTAACTCATCGCGAACATCGGCTACGTCCATAGCATGAACCGCAGCGTACAGTTTTCGATCGCATTCAACGACATTATCTCCAAATGAATTTAACAAACTTTATGTTAAAACCATTTCCTGCTACCATGTAGAAAACTCAACCACCTTTTTGCTTGTAATAATAATTCATTTATCTAAATTTCATGCTGAATGAATTTTTTTCATTTTATAATTTTGTAAAAATTTTTTCAATTTTATAATTTTTTAATTTTGTAAAAAACTTTGCATACATTCATTCATTCAGTCAGTCAGTGAGTCAGTCAGTCAGTGAGTCAGTCATAGTGCAAACTTTCCGGGGGGAGGGATGTTTGATTTATGTTATAGTAATGTTTTGTACATGATCAATAATGTAACGTTTTTAAATCAGTTTAACTTGTTTTATTTATTAATAATCTAGCTATCCCTTTTCCTACAAAAGTTTTCAATGTAACAGGGTTTTTTAAAACCTGTTAATGTAATATATATATATATATATATATATATATATATATATATATATATATATATATATATATATATATATATATATATATATATATATACACCCATTTGCAAAAACGTTGGCCGCAGATAGATAGATAGATACTCGAAGTCTAATTAGAATTGCATATGATTACATTTGCATGGGACTTCAATCATATTACACAACATATGCAATTCTAATTAGATTTCGAGTATCTATCTATCTATCTGCGGCCAACGTTTTTATACGTTTTATATGTATATATATATATATATATATGCTCGTTTTAAAGCAATTTTCATAGCGGCGTATAAAGAAATGAAAATGTTTAACAAAAGGCCTTCAAATTAAAAGATAAAGCAGTGTTCAACATTTATTTCAATTTTGAATTTTAAATACAATGTGCGTGCGTGCGTGCGTGCATAAGTGTTCAATTCATGCAAGGTAGGGATTGCTGCGAGCATTTTAGGGTCCAAGTGAATTGTTATATGAAATGTTAGTAAACTAAATTCGTTTTAACTAATAGCAATAGCAGGTTTAAAACACGTAAAGTGAACCTCTATTGAGCGTTAACTCGCTGGGGCTGTACATGAATTAATACCTGTTAGCGAGAACACTGTGAATGACATCAATATGTAGGTTAATATATGCTATATCAAGTTCTAACTTTTATCTCGAAATTGTTTTGAAATAGGCTGGTTTATATTATGATTTCGCGAGTACTTATCTTTCGAATCCATGCTGCCGTTGTCTTGAAAGCTGCCCCGTTGTCTGACACAATTCGTTTAGGTCTGGTCTTCCTAGCGATAAAGAGGTTAAGCTTTCGCTTGAATTTTTCTGCCGATTGCGTTCTTGTCAGCTCTAAATGAACCGCTCTCGAAGTCGCACAAGTGAAGATGAGTATGTAACACTTAGCATCTTCTTTCTTTTTTCCTTTATACGTCAATGGTCCCACGAAGTCGACGCCGGTTGTTTCGAACGGTCGTTCGCTCTGAACACGGAAGTATGGCAAATCAGCGGTTCTTGTAGGACCATAGGGTTTCACCCGGAACACCTTGAAAACAATGCACTGATTGATTATTCTCTTAACTGTTGTCCTTAATCGTGTTATCCACCAGTCTTCTCTGACGGCGGCCATTGTATTCGCTAACCCAAAGTGATTCGTTTCTTTATGTATATGCTCGATCAACTTGTCAGTAAATTCTCCTTTCTCCAAATAAACTGGTTGGTACCCTGGTATCCTACCTTTACACCGCAATATACCACTCTGATCATCACAGACAACTTCCCAGCCTGGGGTTTGTAAACTCTTTGAAACGCTTGCTTGAGCTCTTCTCACCCAACTCTCTTTCGATTGTTCTATCTCCTTCGTTGTTAACAGACCTTTTGTTCTTTCATTTCCATATTTTTCGCTCTCACGTTCCAAAGAAATCTGAGGACCCAGGCGGTAACACGTATAGTTTTGCAATAATTCGACCTCGAGAGCAACAAATCAAACGTGTCAGGATTCTTCTCTTTTGCCACAAAGACGCTTTCTGTCAATGGTTTATGTTCTTCTTCAACGAATTTGTTACGTTCCATTTTCGGCTGTTCTGGCCATTTTGTCTCGTCGGTCAACCACTTTGGACCTTCGTACCAATCAGCGTTCTCCAACTTGTCGATTGATGCACCGCGGCTTCCTAAATCCGCTAGATTCTCCTCGGATGGGCAGTACTTCTAGTCCATACCGACTTCCTCTGTAATGGCGGCAATCTTTCGTGTTCGATTGGAAACGAAAACCTTCCAAGGTTTATCCGGACTTTTAATCCAGAATAACGCCACTAGACTATCCATCCACACTGTAATCGATGCGATTGGTAAACTTCGTAATGCATCATTCAAGTTCTTGGCCATGTTGGCCGCCATTTGCCCACTGACCAACTCTAGCCTTGCAATCGACGTGTTGCGTTTCGCAATTCTCGACTTCGAAGTCAACATTCCTTTCACGATGCCACTGGAATGTTCGATTACAGCTATCGTAACGGCTGAACAGGCCGTGAAACTGGCGTCTGCAAACAGATGAAGGTGAATTGCTTTCACCTTTCTTACACTCCGAGCAATGCTTCGAGGAATCCTCACATTTCTGAGTTGTCGTCGGCATTTCAACCAATCTTTCGCTATGATACTCGAAACCTCTCCATTCCATCCAACCTTCTCGTTACATGCCTCTCTGTAGATTCGTTTCCCTTCGACCATGACTGGGGATATGATACCCAAGGGGTCATACACACTGCTCAATTCCTTTAGAATCTGCCTTTTTATAACTGGTTCTTCCACGTTGGCTGGTGCTATCGGAATCTCTAACGTGTCAGCTCGCTTGTCCCAATTATGTCCAAGAAATTTCGTAGGATTTTTCTTTTGGTCTAACGATTGTATATTCGATTCCCATTTATGAACAGGGAACTTAGCTGCTTCTAGGATCTCAGTTGCTTCATGTTTGAACTGTATTAACTCCTTAGCGCTGCTTCCTGCCTTCATAAGATTGTCCACATAAGTATTCTGCTTTAATGCCTCCACAGTCTCAGGGAATTCCGCTGTGTAACAATCAAAATGATGTTCCAATGTTGCTCCGAGCATGAAAGCACTCGCCTCCACACCAAACGGTACGCGCGTGAATCGCAAATGTTCTATCGTTCCGTTCACGTCAAACAGGAAACGAAATGCGTCTCGATCTTCTTTCTTCAGTCCAACCTGTAGGAACGCCTGCTTCAAATCGCCTGTTAGATGGTTGGTAGCCATTCTCGCCCGAACGAGTACGTTCCATAGCAATGGTTGTAACGGAGGCCCTGTATACATGCATTCATTTATGCTGTTAGCTAATGGGTGAGGTCTTGCGCTGGCATCAAAGACCATTCTTATCTTAGTAGTAGAAGAGCTTTCTTTAATGACCGGTCTGTGGGGCATGTAGAACACACGCTCGCCCACAGGACTACCATTCGCTTTCTCTATAACTTTGTCTTCCAGCTGTTGCTCTACAATCTTCTCATACTCGCACTTTACTTGCTGATTCCGATTCATCTTTCTCATCACATTATTGAGTCTCTTTCGACTTTGGACTTCATTTGTATTTGATAACTCAGCTGTCGGTATCCAAGGAACTGAAACTTCTTACTATATTTTCTCTGAAATCAGCGTACATGGCAGACTGATCTTTCTCCCCTCGATCTTCGACACCTAATACATCTAGCGAGTATAACTGTTCGTATTCGCTCTGATCACGAACATACATACAACTTGAGTTGTCATAATCTTTTCCACCATGCACCACCCGCCCAAAGGTGGTACCTTCGACCACAGGATCCTCTTGTTCACCTTTAATGACTTCTTCTGTCCTGATCTTACAATAGGTTGCATCTCCAAGGATTAGGTGTATAGGATATCTTTCACTTTCAGTACGATAGAAAGTCTTGCCTCTTATGTGTTGATACTTCTGCTTTAGCTCAACAAACGTCGGTCGTTTTATGGTTGTAAAATCCTCATCTTTGCTCCCGCTACCTCAATGTTCTCACTTGTCTTACCGTCCAAGGAATTTATTTTCACCTCAAAAACTGGCATTGATGTTCTCTTCGTCCCATTCACAGTAAGAATATTTCTGGTTTCATGTCGACTAGGAGACAACCTTAACTGCTCAACAGCCTCTTTCGATATAAAGTTTCTTCCTGAACCTGTATCCAGGTAAGCCCAGTACGTTTTCTGTTTAATCTTCAATGGTATGATCGCAGGCAAGGATCTATCTTCTGTAACCGGTGTGTAGCCATTCAGCTTTATATTGTCTCCATGTTGGTCTTTATCTTCCTCTGTCCTGTCACATAAGCTTGTATGATGTTTGGCTCTGCATTTAAAGCACCCTCTGCTATGGCATTTGCTCTCACGATGTCCTGTTCTTCCACAATTGAAGCATAGCCTGTTCTCAACGAAAAACTTTTTCCGCTCTCCAGTAGTTGCATACGACTTGCACTGGTCACCCCAATGATTCTCTTTACAAAAAAGACACACTGGACTCTTCCTCTTAGAAACACCGTCCCTTTGCTGGGTATACCAGTGAGGATCTCTCTTCTTAATTTCTTTGTTTGGGATATCAACCATTTTGTTTCGCTTGAGCCATCTCTGAATCGCTGACATTAACTTCTTCATATCCCAATCTTCCCAGTCATCATCCACGAGGACCAAATCTGGTTTCGCCTGAGGAAGTTTGTTTAGGGTTGTAACTACAAAACCCTTTAACATAGTTTCCTCTCCCATTGTCTCGAGTGCATCACAGTTCTTACACAATGTCTCGTAAAACTCGTTAACTCTCTCATAGTTTCTTCCCTTCACTTGCTTTAACTGTATAATCTCTTCAATGTGCGCAGCAATTATCAGTTTATCATGTCCGTATTCTGCCTTCAGCCTTTCCCATGCTCTCCTATACCCTTGCTCCCCTGGCTTCAGATTAGCAAGTTTTTCGCGTACCTTGGGTTTAACTGACTCTAGCAAATAACCAAATTTCTCTGAGTCAGATATTGACTTGGAATCTATCTGCGCCTTGAACATATTCTCAAATCTGATCCAGTCTCTTGCACTGCCATCAAATGGGGATATCTTCATTTCTGGTAACTTCGAGGTGCTTGTTCTTGCTTCCTTTTAATTTCTAATTTCCTTTTCTTCTCTGCTATCTCCTGTTCAGACTTCATTCTCTCTTCCCAGATTTGTTTCTCTTGTTTAAGCATATGACCACGTAGAAGTTGTTCCCTCTCGATCTTTCTCTGAGTTATCTCTTCTTCCTCTCTCATAGATTCTCGTTTTTCCTTTTCTTCTAAAGCCCGTACTAAACTCGCTCTCTTCTTGTTAAATGGCATATATTCTGCTTTTAAATCTCTATTCCATTGCCTGCATGATTGCCCTCACTGACTCACTCCCCGTCTCTATTTTCAACTCCTGTAACTCTGATACCATATCATTTAGTTTATTTTGAATATCTTGTGTTCTCTTACACACCTGTTTTATTTCGTCGAAGTTCTCAGTTTCTACGAGTTCTTGAACGTCTTCCAGGTAGAATTTAAGCTTCTCGATCTCCTAACAGATTCTTTTCTCTCGCTCTTTTTCCTCGATCGACATTTTCCCGGGTTTATCCGCATTGCTCTTTTCTTGTGCTTCGTCCATTATGTTGAATCTTCAACTGTGTCTAAATATCACGATTTTCTCACCCGCAATAACTCGCTATTTTATCCTGGTCACGGCACCAAAATGTTCCGAATTTGTTCCGGCAACACTCAAATCACTGATGATCTTTTATATTTTATAATAAAGCAATAAACTGTACAAAAAAATTACATTTATGTCTCCCAATACTCTCAGCTCACTAGAATTATCAATATGAAATATGTTGTCAACACGTGTTTATATATCAGGCAATTCGCCTGATCTTTAAGAGGGTCGGCGTTAGATCAGATCATATCGTACTAACGTACATGACGTCATAAAATTTTCAATAACCCTAACCCTAACCGTAATTAAGGTAAAGCCAGAGATACTATTACATAAGTATATGATCACTCCTATACTGGGTATGAGGGTAACAGACATTTACACTTTCGTGTACATTTATAAATGTATAAATGTATCATCATTCATCGCCATTTTTATTTTATCATTTTTATGAACCAGCTCTAGCAAGACTTCATGTAAGACTTCTGTTATTATACTTCCGTTATTGCAAAATTTATGACGTCATGTACGTTAGTTCGATATGATCTAACGCCGACCCTTTAAGAGGTCACCCGCGAACAGGTGACAACCACTGATCTCTATGTAGTTCCTATCAGCACTGCGAAAGCCACGTTGACGCGGCTTGGAAAAGCCTTTGTCGTACGTCAAGAGCAGAAAAGACCAATAGACGAGGTAAACAGTTACCTTCTTAAAGTTGCGCAGGCCTTTGATAGTGTTGTATTGAAACATGATGAGTACGCGAAATTAATAGCAGATGATAAGGACTTTGAGGCCGAGGAAAAATGGTTAGACGATTATCAAAATGATTTTCTCAAGCTTGAAATTGATGCTAAACGATATATAGAAGAGATGACTAGCGAGAATAGCGAACCTAGCGTAATAGAGGAGCGAAATGCGTCAGGAACGCTAGGAATGCAAAACCCACCAAACAGCGCGAGTAATTTGAGCCAAGTGGGAGCAGATTGCAGTCTATCTACCATCCACAGCGAGAATAACAGCGCGATTGAAATGCCCCAAGATACCCCGTTGGCAACAGTGAGCGGACGACTCTACAACCCTCTGAGTCTACACAAAGTAACCCTGAACAGGAACAAAGTACCTCCCAACCAGAAATAAATAATGAAATAGGAACTGTTTCGGGCAAGACTGCCTGTGGATTTTGGATGGAAAAACCTAGATTGCCTAAGTTTTCTGGCGATGTCTGCGAGTACATGATTTTCGAGCCGATTTTAAACATGCAATTGAATCGAGATACGCAAAACGAGATGCTATTACACTGCTGCGCACTTGTTTAAAGGACAAGCCACTCGATATGATAAAGGTATTGGCTCGGATTACGACGCTGCATGGGAATACTTGGATTCGATATATAGGGACCCCCGTTTTGTTGCCGACACTATTACGCAAGATATTGTTAGATTCAAACCACTAAGTGTTGGGGAGGACTCCAGATTCTGTGATCTAGTGCACCTCGTTAGACGATGTTACAATACCCTGAAGGAAATAGGAATCCCTAATGATATGAACAATAGTAATATGCTGTCGATTATTGAACAAAAAATGTGTCCTGATGACCGGAAAGTGTGGTCTAGTGATTAGTGAAACTGAGATCTGGAAAGCGACGCAAAATCGGCTACGCTAAGCAACCTGATAAACTGGATGACGATCGAAATGAAATCGAGGATACGTGCCACAGCGCCAGTTAGAAGCAGCCCAAGTCGTCGACAAGTCAAGGCATTGTATGGAGGGACTGATGTTAATGGCAAGACCCGACATAAGTGCTGGGTTTGCGACAACTCAAATCACTGGCCTGACCAATGTGAGAAGTTAATAGCGAAGAGTGTTGACGAGCGAATAAACGCAGCCAAGAGCAATCATGCTTGTTTTAGCTGCCTCAAGAAGGCAGGTCGAGATCACAGACAAGCCAATTGCAATAGACGAAAGCAATGTACGAAAGTCGATGCCGGAAACCAATGTACATCAACTCACCACCCGTTGTTGCACAAGGCCAGTTCGAATCACGTTGGTGTCGCTGCCCTTTCTGACCAAAAGGTTACCATGTTACCTGTAATTGCCGCCAACATCTGTGGATCTAACGGAGTGTACAAGCCCGCAAACATTATGTTTGACTCAGGAGCTCAAGTCAGCTTAATTAGAAGAGAAACTGCGAACAGTCTTCATTTACGTGGTCAAGATATAACTGTGAACATAGTAAAAGTTGGAGGCGAAGAAGAAGAAATCCAAACGAAAGTGTACAAAGTGAATGTAACTGGAATGGATGATACGAAGAAGTATATGATTCGAGCCATTGGAATCCCTTGTATCACTGACAAAATCAAAGCTGTTCGATTGAGTGGACTAGCAGATCAGTTCAATCTACGGAAGGAAAAGGTCAAACGTCGTGGTGGACATCTCCTCTTGGTTGGGTAATATTCGGTTCAACACCAGGTGATCTAAGTAATGCGACAACGACCGTTCTTCATGTGAAGACTGCCTCTGCAGTAGACCTTTCTGAATTTTGGACGACAGAAGCCATGGGTGTCCAAGTTTATCCTTGCATCTGTGATGCAAATAAGTTAAACCAGGAAGATCGAGAAGAAAAGTTGATAATCGAGCAGTCTGCCAAGAAGGTTGGTGACCAATGGATGATCCCGTACCCATGGAAAAGAAACCCTGTTGAGCTACCTAACAATAAAGAACAGACAGTTAAACGTTTAGAATCAATTGAACGCAGACTGATGAAGAAACCCAATGAAGCCGCTGCCTATAACCGAAAAATAAACGAGATGGAAGAAATGAACTTTGCAAGCAAGTTGACACCATAGGAGATTGAAGAATACAAAAGTCCGGTTCATTACATTTCGCACCACGCTGTGCTTCGTCCAGACAGTGCAAGCACACCTGTTCGCATAGTCTTCAACTCGTCGTCTTCGTATCAAGGCCACGTACTCATTGAATATTTGCGAAAGGGACCCGATTTATTGAACGATCTTTTCGGAGTCATACTGCGCTTCAGAGAGAATGAGGTCGCTGTAACTGCTGACATATCCAAGATGTATCATCAAGTTCTCATTCCTACGGAGGACAAACACATTTATAGACTCCTTTGGAGAAACGTAGAAACGGTCAGACCGCCGGACATTTACGTAATGAATGTTTTGACGTTCGGGGACAAGCCCACACCTGCAATGGCTCAGATAGCCTTGCAAAAGACAGCAGAGGAAGGAGAGAGCAGTTATCCAGAGCCAGCACGAACCACTAAGGACAACACGTATATGGACGACATTCTTGACTCGGTGAATACAAAGCAGGAAGGCGAGGAAGCCAAAAAAATGACAAGCGGCATAGACACAATTCTGGAGACAGGCGGTTTCAAGGTGAACAAAGAACAGAACGGTTTCAAGGTGAACAAATGGCAGTCGAACGAAGAACTCGAAGAGCAAAACACGAAAAGGAATGAAATCAAGGTACCACAAAGTCAAAACGACGCAAAAGTGCTTGGAGTTTCTTGGGATTGTGCAAAAGGTGTCCTGAAATATAAGTTCGAAATTGAAGCTGTTAAGTCCTGTATTACAGATCTTACCAAGCGCAAGATACTCAGCCAAATCGCTCGAATATACGATCCAATTGGTTTCGTTGCACCTTTTCTCGTGAGAGCAAAGATAAGTTTACAAGAGCTATGGGGACAAGGAGTAGGCTGGGACGACAAGCTGGAACCAAGCGTTTAAAAGAAATGGGCATCCTACTTCGAGGAAATGAAGCAGCTGAATGGAGTATCGTTTGACAGATGTATTTGTCCACGAGAGAGAGTAGGATCGCCAATTCTGTGCGTGTTCGCAGATGCATCGCGTGCAGCTTTTGGAACATGCGCCTATTTACCGATTGAAAGTTCTTTGGGAGAAGTTAACGTAAAGTTTATCGCAGCGAAATCCAGAGTTGCCCCTTTGAAAGAATTGACCATCCCACGTTTGGAACTACAAGCGGCTGTGTTGGCGAGCAGATTGTGTAAAACGATCGAGCAAGAAATCCGGATCGAGCTACAGGAAAGTATCCTGTTTACGGACAGTGCGATTGTCTTAGCCTGGATAAAGAACAACGGAAAGCGTCTGTAACCATTCGTAGCAATTCGAGTTGGGGAAATTCGAAGCAATGTGAAACCTGTCCAATGGAAACATATGCCAACGGAACAAAATCCAGCCGATGATGTATCTCGTGGGTTATCTGTTCCTGATTTGTCCAGACGTTGGTCTAGTGGTCCAGAATTCCTGCAGCGGCCAGTGAACGAATGGCCAAACGAAGATGAGAAACCAGATCCTGCTGAGGTCGAGCGCGAATGCATAAGGAAGAAGACCGTTGGAATAGTGACAACAGACTACTGAAGCAGTCAAGTTAAAGAACGGGATTGAATGCAAAGATTATTCAAGTTGGAAAAGACTCGTGCGCACGACGGCCTGGGTGTTGAAATTGAAGAATAAGCTAATGGCAAAGATAGGACGAGTCCAGGTAGAAAATTCGTTAGGAGAAGAGTCGTTAACTCCGAGCGAAATCGAAGAAAGTCGAAAGATCTGGATAAAAGAAGCGCAACAGTGTTTAAAGGATCGAATGAAAAGAAATGAATTCCGCACACTTTCCCCGTTCGTCGACGAAGAAGGTATAATTAGAGTCGGTGGACGTGTCGACAACGCGTTGGTTTCATATGAGAATAAACATCCTGCGTTACTGCCTTACGATCATAGAGTTTCGCGATTGATTACAGAGGAAGAGCATGGAAGGGGACACTCGGGTGTCGCAACGACAGCTGCAAAGACAAGACGCCGTTATTGGATAATCAAAGTGCATGACTTGGTGAAGAAGATCAAATTCAATTGCGTAATCGGTAAGGGAATGAACCCACAAGTCGAGAATCACTATGGAGGCGTTTTGGAGGCGTTTTTTACAGTCGTTTTTGAGGCGTTGGACAAGAGATGTGCTCCCTCTATTGGTACCAAGGAAGAAATGGAACTCGGACCGATGGAACGTACGAGTGAATGATGTTGTCATTGTGCAAGAGGGAACGGCCATCAGAGGAAAGTGGAAAGTCGGGCGTGTGATAGAAGTTTACCCGGGAAAAGATCAGAAAGTTAGGAACGTGAAGGTACGAACGGCATCGGGAGAGTATTCCAGACCAGTCGAAAAGATCGCAGTGATCCACCCAGCGGAGGCTGACGAAGAGTGAAGATAAAGAGTTCTGATCCCTTTATGGGGGCGGGAGATGTATCGATGAGGAGCTGAGTAAAACATTTATGATATTAACTTTGATTATAATTTGATTAGTTTAGTTTGATTGACGTTTAATGTAGAGCACGAGGTTTACTAGGTAATATGAGCTGATTATTACGAACTGTAGTCTGTATGTATGTGAGAACATGTTTTGTGTGCAACTGGTTTAAATTTACTCTGTTCTGTGCTAACCTGTGAAAATACGGTTTATGGATTAATACTGGGAAGATATGTAGAACGCGGAAACCCGGCAAGAAGTAAGTAAAGATCAACGTTTATATATAATTTACATAGCATTCGAATATGATAATAAGCACATGTAATCTAATTTATATTTAGCTATAATTTGTTAATCCTTATTTTATAGATCGAATAATTTTAATTCAAATACGAATAAAATTCCACAAATTATACGATTCCGTGTACTGCGTTCTGATACATCAAATTCGTTTAGTATAGCCGCTTGATTTGCCGGTACAATTTGGGCCTAAATTGTATGTATTTATTGACAAGTTTTTATTTTCTATCTTCGTTGATTCTGTTATATTTTCGGGGAATATTAAAGTTCGATCTTTCTTCTTTTTTTCTTTTACTAACTATCCATGATATGACGGTGTTGGCCTCTCCCTGGCCTGGCCTTCCCTTCAAAGGAAAAGTGCTGGCTCAGTTGTCCCAATTCAATATGGCGGACAAAGTGCAATTCCATCTTCCAACCGCTAGTAGTGGGAATTGCTAATTTGGAATCCGGATTTGAAGGGAATATTTTCAATATTTCAGATTTTATCCAACACCAATCGAAGTAAAGCTACAGGCATGCACTTAGCCGTTAAAGCCACAACCAACTCTAATGATTTGTTAGCGTTGAATCTATGTTTGCGTTGGCGAGCTTTAGAAACGGAGGAACATTTGAGCAAGAACCGAGCTCTTTATATATCCAGTTTATTGTAGCATTGGGTATTTGTCCCAACCTTTTCGAAGGAGCAGGTGCAGCCTTTAAACAAAGAACTGGTTTCGGTGATGCTTTGTGTGCAGAGCAAGAGATCAAGTGTCCACAATGTTTGTATAAGTGTGTATAATGGTCTTGGTTAATTGTCTCGACAAGCCTTCATTGAGCGGAGAGATGTTGAAAAGCACTTCCGTGTGCTGATGTTAAGTTTGGCTAACTCTGGCTTCAGTGTATAATACCTGCGTAGTTTGATTCATTGTGGCGAGGAATAGAATGGTCGCAGTAGGTTTGTCCACTTTCTCTACAAGTGCCGTCCCAAACTTCGAAGTTATGTATTTGAATTTAAATCAAAGTCGGATTTCATATGCAATCAATCGGGAATAACAATTGAATGTGCTCTTAAAATGGCCATAAACATGCCGTGTTTCTTGTTGTGGAATGAAAATTTAGCTACAGAAAATTCAGGGTGATTCATCGAGATTATGGTCTACCATTGGGATATATATATAACCTGGATTACCATACTGCACTGGTATACCCAACAATGGTGGAGTCTTCGTTCAAACTATCTCATGGATCAGTATCAATGAATAAACTAAGTCCACAATTAGTAGAAAATCTTGAGTTGTTTTCAATGTCAGATATTTTGAAATATGAATTTGAAAACTCGCAGGGAAAGTCAGGGGATTTATCCAGACTTTTGATCGACAGTTCTCGGGCTGAAGGCACTAACGAGAACGCAGAGTTGACTGTCTGAATGTCTTTGTCGCTGTTTTGCTGCTGTAAGGTTGATGAAGATGTTTGATGTTTATGAATGATTTCTGGTGTTGTACTATTGTTTAATTTAGAGACTCAAATCATGGGGATTGATAAACTAACCCCTGTTACCAATTGTTTGAATAATTTTGAAATTTATCAAAAGTATGATTTTGTGTGTTCAAATGTGTTCATGTGATCAAATGCATTCGTAACTTCAAAGAATGTAATTTTAATTAGTTTTGAACCATTGCGTTGTATTTTGAATTGAATTTTGAAATTTCAAAAAATTGACTAAAAATAACAATTTTTCCTTTGGTCCCCCGTTAGCGATTGTTGTGAAATTTTGAAATTTATCAAAGAATGATTTTATGTGTTCGAATGTATTCGTAACATCAAAGAATGTAATTCTACTTAATTTTGATCAATTGTTTTGATCCATTTCGAGGTATTTTGAAGTGAATTTTGAAATTTGAAACACGAAAAGGAATGAAATCAAGGTACCACAAAGTCAAAACGACGCAAAAGTGCTTGGAGTTTCTTGGGATTGTGCAAAAGGTGTCCTGAAATATAAGTTCGAAATTGAAGCTGTTAAGTCCGGTATTACAGATCTTACCAAGCGCAAGATACTCAGCCAAATCGCTCGAATATACGATCCAATTGGTTTCGTTGCACCTTTTCTCGTGAGAGCAAAGATAAGTTTACAAGAGCTATGGGGACAAGGAGTAGGCTGGGACGACAAGCTGGAACCAAGCGTTTAAAAGAAATGGGCATCCTACTTCGAGGAAATGAAGCAGCTGAATGGAGTATCGTTTGACAGATGTATTTGTCCACGAGAGAGAGTAGGATCGCCAATTCTGTGCGTGTTCGCAGATGCATCGCGTGCAGCTTTTGGAACATGCGCCTATTTACCGATTGAAAGTTCTTTGGGAGAAGTTAACGTAAAGTTTATCGCAGCGAAATTTCTGGTGTTGTACTATTGTTTAATTTAGAGACTCAAATCATGGGGATTGATAAACTAACCCCTGTTACCAATTGTTTGAATAATTTTGAAATTTATCAAAAGTATGATTTTGTGTGTTCAAATGTGTTCATGTGATCAAATGCATTCGTAACTTCAAAGAATGTAATTTTAATTAGTTTTGAACCATTGCGTTGTATTTTGAATTGAATTTTGAAATTTCAAAAAATTGACTAAAAATAACAATTTTTCCTTTGGTCCCCCGTTAGCGATTGTTGTGAAATTTTGAAATTTATCAAAGAATGATTTTATGTGTTCGAATGTATTTGTAACATCAAAGAATGTAATTCTACTTAGTTTTGATCAATTGTTTTGATCCATTTCGAGGTATTTTGAAGTGAATTTTGAAATTTCAAAAAAATGACTAAAATCACAATTTTACCTTTGGTCCCATGTTAGCGATTGTTGTGAAATTTTGAAATTTATAAAAGTATTATTTTATGTGTTCAAATGTATTCGTAACATCATAGAATGTAATTCTACTTAGTTTTGATCCATTTCGAGGTATTTGGATCCGAATTTTGAAATTTTCAAAAAATTGACGAACATTACAATTTTTTCTTTGCTCCCGGAATTTAATTTTCTACGGGTTGAGAGACAAGGTGCGCCCACGGTTACTTATATTTTTAAAAATTCCCATACTTTTTCCATAAGTTATCACTATATATTGCATTAAACTGACCTTGTTTTCAACGCTTGACATCCAGTAGTCGAGTGGTGAAGTGATTTGTCTCCCGTGCGTGATGCCTAGGTTCGAAAACGCGTCGTTGCAATCTTTCGATCTCCAATTTTCACTAAAAAATTTTTCTATCTTTCGAATATTTGAAAACTCATGCAGTAATTGAACCACTGACAATATCTTCTGGGTAGTTTTTGGGTTAGGGTTAGTGTCTGGTTTATTTGTAAAGATTATTTTGTCGTTTATTTTCATGATGGCGGTGGGTTGTATTCAGATCTGGTAATTTCTTTTGACTCCCCAAAGTGATTTTAGTCATTTCCACATTGAGTCCGAGAGGGGGCAGTCAAAATAGATTTAAGCTATTTGCTTTAAAATTTTCACACTTCTCGTTGCGTGGATACACCCGATGTTAACCTGCACCAGATATTAACCTACACCGATGCTTATCCTTAAGTGTCAAACACAACCTGGATCCATGATTTCAACAAAAACTCGGATATCTTAACAAAGAACAACAATACAAAAACATCGACGTTTTTTTAAGTATACAATTTCACACTAGATCTTGCTTCAGTTGAAACTTTAACTTGTTGGCAAGAAACCTTCAAATTGGTCTCAACTGTTCGCGAAGATAATTATTGTTCAAACACATCACTCACACTAACAAAAGGGCGTTATATAACAAAACATTATAAATGCACTAGTGATTTCCTCCCAG